GATCCCCCCCCCCCGGCAGGAGAGGGGTTGTGGGTTGTGCCCAGAAGCAGTGAGGGAACTCCTGCCTGGGCAGAGGGACGAGGAGGCGATGGCAGGAGTGTATGTTGGCACTGCCCCTGCGTCCTGCGCTCGGTGGAGTGTCAAACCGTGTGGGTGAAGCGGTATTCGTGGGGCTGTGAACTGCACTGAACCGGAATTGCTTATTTCTCCAGGCCTTTCTTAGCTTTCTGAAGGCTGAACGTGTTTTGATCTACCTGGTACTCCCGGAAAAAAATTGGGCCGTGAATTAGGAGGTTTAAAGCATGGCCACTTTCCTCATCTCTTTTTGGCTGCCTGGATACCTACTGCACCTGGAGGTCAATCATGCAGTGTTAAAATGTCCACACTGGCCCTCCATGAGGTTGTGGTTCCTCCTGATGGGGTGAGCAGAGTAAAGATTGTTGCTGCTGGAAGGAGGAGCTCCCATTTCCCATCCTCCTGCCTTATCTGTGCGGGACCCTTTTTTGGGTTGATTCAACACACCAGTCTGACAGAAGGCTGGTGAAATTGCTCGTAGGAGGTCCTGACAAGGAAGGGAGACGAGACCTCTCCTGACTAGCTCAACTGCTTGTGGAAACGCAGCCTGACTCGGTTAGGTTTGATTTAGAATACTTCCACGCCATTGCAGGAAACTTGTAATTCAAGAGCTATCTTTTGTTTTGTTTGAAGCTTGGTGAAATTTTGGTTTTGCTTTCAGCCTGCTGCTGGCTGAAAGTTGGATTTATCAACCCAACTTCTGTGCTGAGAAGCATGTTTTGCTTTCAGCCTGCTGCTGGCTGATAAACCCAACTTCTGTGCTGAGAAGCACGCTAAATGCATTTCTCTCTGGAGTGTGGGAAAAAGCTACTGTGGTTGGTTTTGCATTTATGGTTTGATTTGTTTTGCCATTCTTCTTCCTAATGATAAAACTATGCAAGTGTCTCTTTCTGATGGGTGACATCTGCTGGGTTTGTACCCAGAGAGTTGATGTAGCCATTCCAGGGCCATCCAAACCAGGATCAGAAGCTACACAGAGAAATTTCCAGTGGAGAAGTTGAAATGTTGCGCTAGTTCCTCACACAAATACCAAGTTGCTAATACAAAGGGATGTTTCAATCCACAGGCAACTTACTCTCTGAAATTAATGTCCTAGAAAAGACAGAAGTTCAGCTGTCCAACCAGTCGTACAGGTTTTCAGTATTTTTGGTTTGGTGTTACTGCTGAAAAAAGAGCTCATAGACTTCCCCATTTCTTTTTTTTTAAATCCGAGGGTTTTAATGATGTCATATAATGGTTTCAAAATGCAGTTATATTTATAAAGCATAATTATTTAATTGGATAAGTGGGGTTGGAATGCAACAGGACAGTTTTATTTGGATCATGAAACCTTTTTGTGTATGTATTTTGTATTTTTAGGAGCATAAAATTCTTCAATGTTTGTCCTGCAATTTTGATGGAACGTGTTGTAGTAAGCATTTTCTGCAGTGGTTTGCAGTTCTCACTGTCAGGCATGCAAAGCTGCTTTTCCAGCTCTCTAACTAAGAAGGAAAATCCTCCCTGGTAAAGGAGACAGACCAGAGCAAATATTTTCTGCACTGTGAATTTCCATTTACTAAAACACAGAGAGCTGTCATTTTAGTTTTGTAGTTATCTTCCTCTTAAGAGCAAAACTGATCTTTGTGCTGCTACCGTGGCTAAAAGCTGTGAGGACAAGTTGGAAAGAGAGAACTATTCATAAAGAGGAAGACTCAAGAGTATAGGGGCAAAATCATCGTCTTCCTGTCATCCCATTCTTTTTAGTAGTAGGAAGCTGTCCTAGAAGAGAAATGTTCCTTGTTCTGGCATTGAGAGGTGCTTCAAAATGACTTTCTTCTCACAGAAAATTAAGTTTCTGAATGGGGTCTGTGGTCTTACAGGAAAGCTTAGGTGGTAAATGAAGTCATTAGACCTTTTCTCTGGGGCTTTGTCCCTAGCTGTAATAATGCCTTCTTGTGCCTGATGACCTTAGTCCTGAGACTGAGCAAAGAAACTGCCAACTTTTTCAAACTCTTATTCAAATAAGCACAGAAAATACCCCTCCTCCTCGTCACTGAAAAAGCACGGGAGGTTTGCTTACAACTCTCAAGAATGGCTTTTCCTGTGAAGTCTCACTGGGACTGTCTTGGTCCTCTTGTGAAAGAAACTCAGAATTGACCTCGCCTTTCTCCCCTGTAGTGATCTTTGCTTTCCTTGGATCCGTGGTATTGATTTTATTGCTCTTGTACTGTGCAGCATGGATCTTCCCATGCAACCCTCTTGGCTCCCACGTTTTCCACTTTGTATTTCTTTGACGGAACAGAAACCTTAGTAATAACATCAGAACTAATTAAAAGAGCTCATTCATATGCCTTGCTGTCACAGCAGTACTTTGATGCTCTTTTTTGTGGTACATCTTTTAATTTATGAAAGGAATTTTATTACATATATATGAATACATATTGTATAATATGGAAGGAATTTATACAAGGGAAGCATCTTTCTAATTATAGCTCAAAACTATGTGTTTGAGAGTTTTGGCTAATACAAACTGTCACCCATTTTGGTCTTTATTAGCTATTTGTTTTCTTAGAGCATGCTGTAAGTCATAAGGTGTGTCTGCATCTGAGAACTTGGCTTTGGCTAGAGGCACTGAGAGCGTAGTGCACTGGGTCCCTTCACTGAGACTTTCCAGTAGAAAGGATTACATGATAAATCCTCTTCCTGTAGGTCCTGCCCACAGAAGGAAATTGCCGAGGCAGAATTGCTGTGAGAATGGAATTGGAAATAGAGATTGCAGATGAGTAAAAATGGTTAACAGGTTTGTTTCATGATGAATTATCAAGGGTTATGGGCAGCTGTTCTTTGAAGTATTTTAACTTTGTACCAAATAGCTCAACAATAACACCTTCACTTGGTTATTTACAAATATTGCAGGAACAAGAGAAAAGCTAACTTTTTAAGTGAGGGCTTTGCAGGTAGAGCAAAGAGCCACATCACATATTCTGTAGATGAAGAAATTCTGAAACTGGGCTTTTTCAGTCACCTTTAATGTTGCCTTCTTACAGTAGCGGTGGATGGGGTTTGAAACTGTAAGCTTTAGATGAGTTGAGCAAGCAGAGAGTAGTCAAATCTTAGCAGGGTGTATCGGCTGGGTATCTTTTGTGAAAAAACAGTTTCTGGGTATTGCATCAGTGAGGAAAGATGCAAGTCTTCAACTGTTATTATGAGTACATGAGTTATTTTAATTCGAAGTCCTTGCTGGGTTTGGCAAGCCTTCTTTTCCTGCATTTCTAGCTGAGAATCCAAACATGGTTCTGCCTGGACACCGAGTCATTCTTGTGCCTGCCATCTGGTGGCCAGATACCACAGCTAACTGGACTGGCTGCAAAAACCCAGCAGAGGCTCTGTCTTAAGGATACTGGAGAAAAAAGTAGATCCTTTTGTCACTGAGCCGTGCCTCAGATAGACATAAGGTTTTGCATGGTTTTCCTTGAGGAGAAATAGATTTTATAAGTTCTGTTACCATCTTTCTTCTCTTTCCTAGGATATGATGGAGCTCCTAGAGGAAGATCTCACCTGTCCCATTTGCTGTAGCCTGTTTGATGATCCTCGTGTCCTACCCTGTTCACACAATTTCTGCAGAAAGTGTCTGGAAGGAATTCTTGAAGGAAACGTGCGGAATGTGCTTTGGAGGCCGTCCCCTTTCAAGTGCCCCACGTGCAGGAAGGAAACTCCCGTTACTGGAGTCAACAGCTTGCAAGTCAACTATTCCCTGAAAGGTATTGTGGAGAAGTATAACAAAATCAAAGTAACTCCAAAAATGCCTGTGTGCAAAGTGCACAGCGGGCAACCCCTTAACATTTTTTGCCGGACGGACATGCAGCTGATCTGTGGGGTTTGTGCCACCCGTGGTGACCATACAAAGCATGTTTTCTGTTCTATTGAAGAAGCTTATTCCCAGGAGAAGCGGGCTTTTGAAACCCTGTTTCAGGGCTTTGAAACTTGGCGTTGTGGAGATGCCCTCTCGCGGCTGGATACCTTAGAAACCAGTAAGAGGAAAGCTCTGCAGATGCTGACCAAAGATTCTGACAAAGTGAAGGAGTTCTTTGAGAAGCTGCAGCACACGCTGGAGCAGAAACGAAATGAGATTCTTTCTGACTTTGAGACCATGAAGCTTGCAGTGATGCAGGCTTACGATCCGGAAATCAATAAACTGAACACAATTCTGCAAGAGCAACGGATGGCTTTTAACATCGCAGAGGCCTTCAAAGATGTGTCTGAACCCATTATATTTCTGCAGCAGATGCAGGAGTTCAGGGAAAAAATCAAGGTGCTCAAAGAAACGCCTTTACCTTGTTCCAGCGTGGACATCAGCCCTACAATGAAGAGCTTTGATACCAGCCAGTGGAATGGAATAAAACTAGTTGATGTGGACAAACTTTCCTTGCCTCAGGAAAACAGCACTCGTAAATTCAAGATTCCCTCAGTCTTTTCGCGCAGATTTATAGTGACCTCTCTTATTTGTTTGCTTATTCTTGCTGTCACCAGAATGTCCTTTGTGGAGTCAGTTGTTGACAATCTCCAGTGCTGGAAATCTCAGTTCTTTACAATTAGCTTGTCCTATTTGGCAGATACAGTGGAGATAGCAGATCATGCAGTCTTTTACTGGGAACAGATGACAGATGGAGCTTCACTTCTAAGAGAAAAGTGTAAAAACTATACATTGGTTGTACTGGATAATGTTGCACAGTTTGTGTGCAAATATAAACTGTTGTGAAGTCCCTGCAGAAATATAAGAACTAAGAGAGATCTGGTGAAGAAAACGTAGAACCTCTTAAAATTAATTGGTTTTTTAAGACTTCAGTGAAAACATTCAAAGATTCAAAATGTTTCCAAAACATTCATACTGCTCAACTAGTTTGAGCACTGATAAACTGGAAGATGAAATGGAGCTTTGAAAAACACATTGTTTCTGGATTCTTCTTCCAGTGGCGATTATAGGAATATTATTCACTGTAAATCATTTTTATTACCAAAATATAGGGCCAAACTGTGTACTTAGTTTAATGTTAATGTAATTGTAGAATAAGATAACAAGTGTCACTTCCTAAAACCTCATAGTTAAAAATTATTTTTTTTCTAACTGGGAGGTGGTTTGGCAAGAGGAAGAACAGTTGTGATTGAGAAGAGCGCTGCACCGAGAGGCTTGTTGACGACTGTCCTTCCACTCCAAAATACGGAGTGCATCATTCACTGTCGGGAACCACTTTCTATCTGAGGATGTTACTTCTCACTGAAATAGATATATGTTGGGGGTTTTTTTGTATAACGAAATGTTGTAATTACTGCATTCAGATTACTGTAGATACTGGTTATTGTTTACATGTTCTATACAAAAATGTATCTTCAGGGCAAGCATAAATTCTAGGGGTGAGTGAAATCAGTTGAGGTTGGTAAAAGAAGAACAAGCTGCAAGATTGTCCATATTTTGCAGATAGTACATACTTTGCAGTTTACTTTTCCAACATCAAATAGTTGGGGTGACTGAGCTGTCTTGTTAGATCCATGTTTCTCTGAAGCCACACTTTCTTAAAAAGTGGCCTTAGTGTAAACAGTTCAGTGTGATGAAAGGCACACACAGGTCAGGCACGGGAAGGCAGCTTGTGCTTTGGCCCTGCAAAGGTGGCAGGTAGAGCAGTTTCTCTCCTGTCCCTCTGTCTCCCCAGATAGTAATTCCAAGAGCTGGGGGAAAAGGTGGGATGATTTCTTGGAACAGAGTGTGTAACGTGATGGGAGTATGGATGTTGTGGGTGTTTAGAAGTGCTTTAGCACTGGAACATGTATGGGCTCTTCTGCTGTTACTAGATTTTCATGTACTTTGTTTCAGGAATTAATTGAATTTTCTTAGTGTATTGATTTGGCCGTAGGATAACAGTGATTTAAAGTGAACCATAAGCTTGACTTCTCTGAAGTGCCCTTCTTTAAGAGCATACAATACTGAAATATATTGCTTGAAGCACATCTAACCTCTTTTTGCAGTGGTCCTATGAACAGCAATATATAGAATGAAAACATTTAGTTGGCATTTCCAGGAAACAAATGTAATGTGTATCATACTTTGGGGATATTCGTTGGCCTCTCTCAAGGTTTAGTAAGTTGTGATGGTCAATTCACTGTCTTCCAGTAGTCCTTGCAAGCTGTTCATGTCAAAAATAAAACATTAAATTCCAAGAATCAAAGTTTCCGAGCAACCAAACCCTGCAAACAAGGCGATTGTGCATTATATTTACATCTTTGTTGCCCGGGAGTCCTGTTGCTGCTCCACACCTCACTCCAAACACTTGCTGAAAGCACTGAATGGTTCTCGGAGCTGCAGATGCCTTGCAGTTTAGGAAAGATCAAGTCACAAACACGTAGATCAGAGAGTTACAATTCCTGAGTGGCTGAGAGTTATGAATAATCGAGAGATGGTCATTCTGAGTGTGGGAGGTGTGAGATTTGTAACCCGGGCTTCTACCTTGCAGCAGTTCCCCGAGTCCAGGCTAGCACGGATGTTGAATCATGATGACCAGGAATTTAAACTGGTGAATGGAGAGTTTTTTGTGGACAGAGATGGAACTTTGTTTAGTTACATCATGGACTTCTTGAGGACTCTTCAGGTCTCCTTACCTACTGATTTCTCAGACTATCAGAGGCTGCAGAGAGAAGCAGAATTCTATGGGCTCTACCCTCTGGCCGACATCCTGAGCCAGGAACACTTGCTGAAGCCAAGGTTGGAGATCTTGGAAGTGCGTTTTTCTCTCCAAGAGATGCAGGCCTTCTTCCGGATATTTGGTTCCTGCAGTACCACTGTTGAGACACTAGCTGAACAGATCACTGTGTTTACAGGGCAGCAGTCAGGACAGAGCTGGAACAGCCCTTTTCCTTCTCAGAAACCACTCGTTCCACTTCCTTTGGAAAGACCTTCTCATCATGACATGGTTTTTCAGTGTGGTACTGACTACTCTGCTGGTGACCAGTTTGTGGCCAGGTACTCTCCCTAGTGTGACTTCTCATTATGGAAATGTCTTTGTGACTTCTAGTTCATGAAGTACATGCTACGTGCTGGCAAAGCTCACTTTAAAGAAACTATTGGACAGCTGTCTGACAGAAAAGAAATAAGTTTCCTTCTTTCTGCTAGTTCAACGTTACCTTTTTCTAGTTCTGAAATACCCAGTTTATTTTCCATTACAGTGATTTGCCTGTTCTTCAGCTTTTTAAAATGCTGTTCTCAATGTTTGGTTTTGAGTTCTGTTGGGTCTTTCTCTGCCCTTTCTTCCTCATTTGCTCTCCCAGGCTTTAGAATTTCATGGCATCAGTGACCTTCTAGAGGACTTGGAAAACATAGAGTAAAATGAAGCAAAGGAAACAAAATAAGTAAGGAGTGAAGTACTGGGGAAGCCTAAAATCTCCACTAGCTTATAGTCCAAAAGACTTTCATATGGAAAAGCGGAAAAAGAGAATTGCTAAACAGGGTTAAAAACACCGGTGGAACTAAGATAGCAATTCAGGGACTGGAAAGCTTTTGTAGAGCCTTTTACTGGGGGGAGGGAGAAGGGGTAGATTATTAACTATATGCTACACAGTGGCTTTTCTTTGAATTCAGAATCAGGTTCTGTTTTTATTAAGATTACTGTATATCAGTGATTTCTGTGATAGCAGTATCGTATTCTAATGACAACCTACATTTTTTAAACAAGCTTTTGCTGAATGTCTCTATTTTATGGAGACACGTTCATACTGTATAAGAAAATGTAACCTAATTTTGTCCTCTGTGGCTGTTACAACATCTGGAATTTTATGGAAATTTCATTGAAATATTTCCAAAAGGGTTATTCTCTCTGAATATATGAATCAACACAGCAGTCATTTGATTATTTAAAAAAAAAAAAAAGAATAAATTTTATCTTTCTTCTAGCTTTCTTTGGCTAAGCAAGTAGAAGAAAAACTACTTTGCATTTGCCAAACTTTAACTTTGTAATGTATTACTAATTTTAATGGACTAACAGTGGGTTGAGTAGGTTATGGCAACTTAAATAGTGGAGAAAATATTCCTGATTGTTTCCTTTATTTCTTCAGACCTGGTAAAAATTTTCCTCTGCAGATCAATAGAAAGGCTTATCTTGAGTAATGAAACAAGTCGAGTTTGGTTATGTTGCCTGCTGAATTTCTATCGACTTGGTCTTTGTGGTGACATGGTCTCTTTTTTGTCCTTTCCATGAATGTTTGGTGTACTTCCCTGTGAACTGTGGAACGGTTTCACCCCTGTCAGCGGATGTATTTTGTAATAGTATTTTTACCTGACTTCTGTTCCTCAAAATGTCTGGAGAGATTCTTAAACTGTACTTTCTGTCAAGCAAAATCATTTGAGGCGATGTGAAAATGATTTTCATACTTGTAAACACAAGACCTGCTGTACAAGGTAACTTTGCAATAAATGTCACTGTTTGTAGAGAGAGATTCCGTGTAATGAAAAGTGATGCCGTAGGGGTGAATGTGACTTCACTGTCCTTTCCGTCATTTACTCTTACCTGGAAAACTGTTGCAGCATTATATAGAGCATGGCATTCACCTCTCCTCCATTAAATTAAATGAGATGGAGGATATCAGAGCTATTTCTTAAGAAATTAAGTTTTGGTGTAGGGGTGAAAGAGAGGTGCTTCTTCCCCAACATGTAACTGGATAAATTGAGAATTACTGTTCTTACAACACGAGAAGGAGTTAAATTGTCCTCAAAGGACAAAAAAAAATACCTGGAACCTTGTAAACCTGTGCAACTGTGCTGACCTGCACCATCTGAGGACCCGTTTTATTTAAAAAAAAAAAAAATTGATTCCATCCTCAAGAAGTAATTGAAGTGTGTTGTAACCGCTTTTTTCTTATTTTAGGTATGTTTCCATAAAGCCTGATAATAGAAAGCTGATTAATGGTACTAATGTGCTAGGCCTGCTGCTTGACACTTTATTGAAAGATGGATTTCGCCTCATAAGCACCAGGACGATATCCAGTGCAGAAAAAGTCGAATGCTACAGTTTGGAAAGGATGAGTAGACCAGCAGGCCTGACCATCACGGCGAGCCAAACCCAAGGGAGCTCCGGGGCAGCACAGGCAAAGAGAAGCCAAGTGCAGAAAGGGAAATGAAGCCTTTTCCTTTCATCTCTTGAAGGTGGAAGAGGGGTGTGTCGCCACCAGTGGCCTTTTACTCTTGGCTTGTTTGCAACTGCACCTATTGAGAGAAGTAACAAACAAACAATTTTCTTTTTTTTTTTTCAAGTATTCGGAAAAAAAAGATTGCTTTCCTGCCTGTTATCGCTCCACCCTCTTCAACTCTAAATAAAAGAGGCACAGATTCAATACTGGTTTTGTGGACCAGATTCCAGCATTTTCAAGGGGCGTTTTTGTTTTTCTCTGGGGCTATAATTTATATTGGGACTTGCAAAAAATCAGCCATTGCTTCTAGAAAATTGTTTTTATGTTCTGTGCTAATCTGTAAGTAGATTTTCAATACATGATGATACATGAAGAAGTAACAGCTTGACACAGCTGTCTTCCCAACAGTTTGGGGAAGCTGGAGGAGGAACGCAAACCTCAACGATTGAATATTGCTTCTACTTTGAAAAGATACATGTACACTGATTCTCTTGCAGTTAGCCGAAAGCAACGTAATAGAAACATCCCAAGTGGTATTGCTGTGTGGCTCCAGACATCAGAAAGTGGCTTTGTGAAGCTGCCACCAGT